TTCAGATGAGTGTACCAACCTTGGTACCCCTGTGCTGGACTTAACGTAGGATTCAAATTCGAGAGCTCTGGCCATTGCATCTTGCATGGTAGAGGGGTGTGCTTGCTTCACTTGTATTTTAAGTTGTGGACTGTCCAAGGCATCTACGAACTGATCCCTCAGCAACAACTTGAGGAGATTGGGTGGTGCAGTTGGGTAGGCCTTGTGTGCCATGCTTTCGAAGTCCTGTGCCAGCTCTTGCAGGCTCTCCCCTTTAGCACGGACTCTCGTCCTAAACCTAGCCCTGTAGACTTCTGACTGATTTTGGGTTTCGTACCTGAGTTCTAGAGCCGTTACTAGTGTTCTATAGTTGTGTCTGTCGTCTGCTGACTACTGGCCAACTATTTCCAGTGATTGTCCCTTTAAGTTCGTTGCCAGATATTCTGCTTTCTGCTCCTCTGTCCATCCATTCATCTCTGCCAGTAGCTCAAATTGTGCTCTATATGGGTGCTTTCCCATCTTATTCCTGTGGCTTCCTTTTTACTGAATCACTCCTATTACTGACATTCATATCTGGGATGTGACTTCTAACAGGACTGAATATGTCTGCATTAGGGTTTAGCTGCGGGCTCTGTAAGGGGCTTGCCATTGTCTGGGGCTGATTAAGTCGATGGTTAATGTATCCTCCTTGTGTAAAAGACAATAAATCATCCTTTAACGTATCTAATTCACTTTTAAATTTACTACTGTTTTCCGTTTGTACTTCTTGTTTCCTTTCTTGTTCCAGTTGCCACTGCTGTAGTCTCTCTTCTTGTTTCTTTTCTCGTTCTTCTTGTTTATTTTCTTTTTTCTCTAACAACTGCTGTAATTTCTCTTTTTGTTTATTTTGTTGTTCGAGCTGCCACTTTTGCAGGTTTTCTTGCCACTGCTGTAATCTTTCTTCTTGTTTCTTTTCTCGTTCTTCTTGTTTCTTTTCTTTTTCCTCCAACAACTGCTGTAATTTCTCTTGTTTATTTTGCTGTTCGAGCTTCCACTGTTTCAGGTTTTCTTGCAACTGCTGTTGTCTCTCTTCTTGTTTCTTTTCTTTTTCCTCTAAGAACTGCTGTAATTTCTCTTATTGTTTCTCTTCTCGCTCTTCTTCTTTCTTTTGCTGTTCTTGTATTGCTGCCATCAAATCTGCTAAGCTGTAGTTTGATTTGCCGCTTCTCGTCTCCATTTTTTTTGTCCCACTCTCTGACACCAATTTGTTACGTCTCCGTTTGTTAATTAATTTTCCGTAAATTCGTTCCGACGAAACTTTAGCGACACAAGTCCTTTCTTAAATAAAACTGGTTTATTCTTTCCGAATACAACTTTACGATACACTTAATTTCAACAGTCGCTCTATAACAACGCTATAACTCACGTCTCACGTGGCCAACAATATTTTGTCCGCATACATTCAATTACTCATTGCCTCCGCGTCGCTTCGTGGCCGGTCTTATATATACAAGACTACACTGTATCTAGTAATCTCCCGACAATTCACGAAGGTTCGAGAAGGACGTGGCGTGATACTAATCATGTGACCTCGCTGACGCAAAAATACTATAAATAAATAATCTTATAATGTTATTCTACGACCTAAAGTTAGACCTTTTTATAAACTTTGATAAGCTTTTGCTATGTTGTTGCACAAAATATCTACTAAGGTATATTTGCATCCTTGTGTATGTTGTGTCTGTCTGGACCGATGTTCTGGTCGTGTTGTGCGCGACCTGGGAAGATCGGGTGCTATTTAAACTTCACCCCCCCCCCTCCTTTACAGTTCGTATATTAATTGTCAGATGTTATAGGATACGATTACTTCACAAGAGCAGGGCTAAAGTTAATTACACTGATCCTTCTTCCCTGTTCAGGGTCATATCCATGAACATTGCCGTAGAAAGCAATTTTTAAGTGGTCAGGCCATTGTCACATTGTCATTTCTATTTCTGAAGAT